CATCATTTATGTCCTATGCATTTTTTGTGTAAAACTGATAATTTTCGAGAAAATTGACGTTAAAGATTAAAAACTTTGGTAAGTAGGATGAAACACGGGGGGTTCGGGGGCGGAGCCCCCCGTGGGGAAACGGTTGCTGGCGGGGAGGGGGTGCAGGGGGGAGGGCCTCTCCCCCGCCTATTACATAGCTAGTGTCTATTATAGAAGTTGAAAATAACTTTCAAACACAATATGCGCACACACACCTTGCCTTGGGGTCTTGCTAATCTTTCCTGTATTTAAAATTTTTAGTATATAGTAGACTTATCATACTTTTAGTAAGGCAAAGATTTAATTCATATAAATTTTCTGCGCGCACACACCTTGCGTTGGGGTCTTGCTAATATTTTCAGTATCTAGTATTTTTAGTATATTGTAGACTCATTAGATTTTTAGCAAGGCAAAGATTTAATAAATATACATAAATTGTATACGCACACACGCCGCTACATTCTTGAACGGCATGCGCATGCAAGCTAAGGCCTACCTGTTTACCAAAGTTTTTAATCTTTAACGTCAATTTTCTCGAAAATTATCAGTTTTACACAAAAAATGCATAGAACATAAATAATGTATTTTTATAAGAACTACAACTTTTATTTGAGACATTTTTTCGTTACATCAATATCTCTCGAAATAATCTCAAAAAAGTGATATTTTTTCACTTTTTTTGGAGTTTTGACCTTGAAAATGATCTTGTCGGCGATTTTCATTATCATATTCGTAATCAGCGCGCCAAAATACATAAAATAGTGCAGTTTCAAAAAAATCGGGCTTTTACCTATTCAGAACTTTATCCAAATTTTTAAAGTAAATAACGTTCAAAATTATGTTGAGATATTCTTTACTTCAAAGGAGCGGGAATTCTTTTTAAGAAAGAGATTGGAAATTTGCTAACAAGATTACAAACTGTTATCAATAATGATGGCGATTATACGAAATGTCCCATCTTAAATGCATCAAATATCTCAGAAATTAAAAAAGAGGAAAAAGTGTTTCGAATAAAAGTTGTGGGAAAAATTGGATTTCAAGGGAGAGAAAGGATGGTAATATTTATTTGAAATGATTCTGTAATGACCTTCAAAAGTCTCGTCAAGGTGAACATTTAATATTTTCATGTTAAGAACTTTTAATTTTTTATCGCATATTATTGTAGCTCTTATAATACTTGTCGATTTCGGGATAGTAGCCACGCGGTTTTCATCGCATCAAGTTGGATGATTATGGATGATGTAACTTATAATTAGCTAAGAATTTATACGGATTTATTGTTAATATCTCCCCTTCTTTTCTTTTTCAATGTCAGTCTTTGTCTTTGGCGCTTCTACGATCTTCATCTATTTCGTTTCCTCTATTAATTTTGAAATTCATCGGTATGAATACAAATCTACGGCTTACGATTATCATTTTCTGTCTGTTTTAACACTTTCGCTGATTCTTGCGAATAATAAAAATTCTTGAGATAGTTTTATTATTATTATTATTATCTATGTTATATATTATTGTGTGTTTTTATTGAGATGAAAAAGTTCTGTCAGAAACTTATTTTAATTTCAATTTATTTTGATTACAAAAAGTAGTTTTTAATATTTACTGATTATTTAACAAAATGTGATGGAAATTCCAATGAAAAAATGCAAATATCCTCGAGACAGAAATAGTTGCGGTTCATCAATGGTCCTTCTCGAAGTTTTAATTGTATGGACATGTGTGTAACATGAGACGGATGTAATGCAAGCCGCGCTATTATATGGGCCACAAAAAATGTGCAGCATCTCTTTTTGCGACGGCATGCATGTATCCACAACGTTCCCTTCTTCAAATGTTACTAGTAATGCTCGTACAGTCTCATAAGATTAATATCTCGCACTCAAGGACTAATATGCAAAAATTTGTAAATATTGAGTTACCTTTGTTGCAAGAAGAAATGATCGATATTAACTTAATTGAGTTAAATCTCTAGAAAATTATCCACTTTTTATCACAATTAAAAACTTTGTTTGCAGGAAAGAGTACAAGCTAAAGATCCACCGTCCCATTATCTGGCAAAACTACGTACCTATCTGGATCCCAAAGCTTCACGAAGCCATCGAGTATGTTCTTTTATATATTTTTTCAAATGTGTATATCTTTTTATTTTATTTTTTTATTACACATGTTTGAATTACATATATATTGATAGAATTCATTTCTCGGAAAAAAAATCCGTGTGTTCTTTAGATACATTGTATTACACATTTCACGCTAAATATATTTGATATATACTCATAACATATATATTATATTATAAAATATATTCAAATATATTCAAATCAATCTCGTCAAATTTGGCGTTAAATATATGATGAAGATATTGATATACAGATACAAATACTGATCTAAATTGCAGTAATGGTTCATTCCACGTCAAGTGATCCAATGTGAATTACCTTACCTTACCATTTTCTTTCTTTTTTATTTTCTACACATATTTAGCTATTTCTAATATGGGAACGTGCGCACGCGCGCTTCTGAAATTTCTAGCTTTAATCCTTCATAACACGACTAAAAAGTAAGATATCGAAATAAAAAAATGCATTTTATAAGGGAACAATACATTCATGATTTCTGATCAGAATTTCAAGATAACATTAACCTTTCTTACAAAAAAATATCAAATATCGCAGAAAAACCTATTTTTTACATATTATACCTCAATTATTTTGGAAACCTGACGTGTTGGTGAAATTTGGTTTGCGGCATCGTTTTCAGCATTCAAAAATCTATAAGAAACACCTTGTCTGATTCAAAATAATTAAAAAAAAATTTTTTTTGTAAACTAGTGTTATGCACATCAATATATATACAGGGTGTCCCAGACTTACCGTATCACCCGTTAATGGCAGATTCCTGAGATCATTTGGAGACGAAAATCTTAATACCAAAATGTCGAGGCTACTATAGTATTTGAATGGGAAAGGCTTAAAGTTTACCAATCAGCTTGTCAGAATTTCGCGCGCTCAGGGACATCGCATCTCGAAAGGACCCTTGCACAACACTTTATTCAATACGTTTTATTTACTTCACTCAGCTCTTATTCACTTTATTCACTTTATTTACATTGTTCGCAATACTGACGAATTTACTAACGATAATAATTTCTAAATTGTATTAAAACACGATGCGCGTCGAACTGTCAAAGCAGTCGTGCCATTGACAAATGACGTTTCTCATGTCATGAGAGAAAATCAATACTATTGGTACGAAGTTATGATTTGCTACATTAAATGTTTGTGCAAGGGTCCTTTCGAGATGCGATGTATATATATATACCTTTTTTAAAAAAAGGTAAAAAAAAGGCGCCAAGTACAAGCTCTTATCACAACTAAAACAAAACAGTATTGTTTTACTTTTCAAAAAAATTGTCGTATATATTAAACCTTTCAAAAAAACCTGTCGTATAGGTATATTAAAATTTTCAAAAAAAGACTATTCTATATACTTCTTACAAAAAAATAGTGGTATCAGGAAATGGCACCAAGTGGGACTAAAGAACTATGAAAAAACTTGAACACTATTTCTATAAAACTCTTGTACATAAAGCTCTCGTATATATAATTAATTATATTATACACTATATTTTATCATATTTTACATGTACTATACTATATATACTATATATATTATTAGATATACTATATATATTATAAAAAATTTTTAAATATTAAAAATAAAATATTTATTAAAAAACGACAAAAAAACTTGGCGCTGCTACACCTCAAAGTAATGAAATTAACATGTAGTTTACTGTAGACTACGTTCTTGCGTGGTCTTGCCACGCAAGAACGTAGTCAAAAATTGATAGAGAGCAAACCTCTTTTCATTGATATAATAAACAGAATGAAATATTATAGCTTATTTATCTGTTTATTAATTTTAGTATTAATCTGTTTTCTAAACATAATTAATCATGCATTCTTTAGTTATTGATGTTATCTGGTGGAAAAAAAAACATACTTATTTTATCGATAATGATCGTAATCGCTGATTACTTAATCGAGAAATTTATCGTAACGATTCGTTGATATCGATAATAGTGAAAGATATAGTTGAAATTATATCAACGAGTCATTTAAATTATAGCTGTATTTGCTATAATTGCATTATGTTTATAATTGCATTATGTTTATAATTGCATTATGTTTATAATTGCATTATGTTTATAATTGTATTATATTTTAAAGGTAAAAGATTTTCCCTTCATTAAATCGTACGTTTGTAATATGCTATATCATTATCGTTCGTTACTGATATTACAATTAGAAGTTGTGTACGTCGTTAAGTAATGAAGTATCGTTAATTATTAGGTATAGCATTCTATTAAACAGCACATGTTTCAAGACTTTAGTGTATGATTTGTCTAAAATAAATAAAATTAATTATCAAGGTTCAATATTTCTGTTCTATGTATATACTAAATTAGTTCTAACAATATTTATCATTTCCAGTCAATTTCATTTTGTGTTTTACAAGATTTTTTGTTTAGTTTATGTTTATAATCTTTTTTCTATGGATAAATAAAATTCAATAATATACCTAAAATATGATATAAACATTTTTTTACACTTAATTCTCTGCCCACACTGTGATGTGGATAATTTTGTTGTCAATCATAGCGTTAACTACAGAAGACGACTTATGCTATATTTTTTTAAATATAAAATTGACTGAAAATTACAAATATTGTTGAAACTAATCTAGGATACTCAGAACAGAAATATTAAACTTTGAGCTATTCAATTTTATTTATTTTAGACAAATCATCCTCTAAAGTCTCGAATCATGTATGAATAACCTGCAAAATAAAAAATTTTCAAAGGTGTAGTAGATACTTACTAAGGCATTCACATTCACCAACATATCACTTATTTCATTTAATACGAATTTCTAACAAATTTGGTCACTCGCACTACACTGCTCTGGATTGATAAGCAGTCTTGAGTGTGCACCAAAGTAACAGAACAATGTAGTGCGAGTGACTAAATTTGTTAGACCGAATTCACTATTATTACTTTTTATAACACTTTCTAATCTGAAAGGTTATGTAAAAATGTCAAATCTTAAGCGCACGCAGCGCGGCTTCTCAGCGCCATCAGCGCACCTAACGTCAGAAATCGGAAACTGGACATTTTAGCTGGACATTTTATCGTATTATTTTAGACATTTCGACTTTGGACTATTATAACTTTTTTTCTACAGCACCTACAGTAAAAACAAGCATACTTTTCTTATATAATTTGGGTATGCGCTATTGATTGAGCCTATTATCAACTCAATCGGCCCAGCCGTTATTGAGATCCGATAATCTCGGCTCGTCTCAACTTTCGGGCTCGCGTAAAGATACACGGTCGGTCTTGCGCTGCGCGTGAACTTGGCGCGAGACACTACCGTGTCTCTTGATATATGTTATATATATTATTATAATTGTGATATATATATATATATATATATACATATATATGTATATGATTAGACATGTACATTTCTTGAATCAAATTTAGTTATTTATATCAAATTGAAGTTCATGGAATTTTGAAAGAACTGGTTTTTATTGCAATGAAATATCTCAATTCTTGCCTGAGAAAAATGAGCTTTTGCGTAGAACTGCTCATTAAATTATTCATATTTGAAAAATATTAATCTCTTAAAAATAGGAAACTATAGGAGATAAAAACTCCAAATTGGAGATTTGCAGTCAGCTTTGACGGTTCGTTAAGATTACTGAGAAAAATGAATAAACAACCTTAGGCAAAATATTATTTAATAATTGGATCACTTGACATAGAATGACTAATTCAATTTTAGATGTTCGTATAAAATAAAACTTTTTTAAATTTTTTGTAACACAATTATATTATTATTATTGCGAATTTACCGGCAAGAAATTTTATCAGACGGATACTAATGATTACACACAGTCGTATCGTTTCCTTACATTCTTTCAGAAAAGGAAAATGGTTGGGGAGTCTACATCGACGCAAGTATTACGAGACTTGGAAATATCATTACGCACAAATCACATAGAGTAAGCGAATCCAATAATTATTCAGTCATCATAATAATTATTCATCTCGTTTATCTCCTATTTTTAACATTTGATTAAAAATCTCTTAAATCACCTTGTAATGTAATTGTATTAAACACAATTATGGTATTGATATTTTTTCTTCAAACATATTTTCAATGAATGTGTGATGCTAAATAAATATAAATTCTAATTACAATTTTACACTTCTAATTGTTAGTATTCGAAATAAGAAAGAAGAAACTACTATTTTATGTATTTTATATTATTATATAATTATATAACCAACTAATCATGCTAATCATTAATTATACAATTATACTAACGCGATTCATGTTTATTCATGATATTATCGTCTTTCCAAAGCCTGCATTCTGAGCTGAATATGTTACAGATGGGTAAGAGAGTTTTTAGACGAGGAAAATCAAGGCTTAGACGCCTTGATAGACTATCTTAACTTTAGATTATCGATGATGCGGCACGAGCAACGGCTTTTGGAATCTCACACAAGTTCCGAGGAAAAATTACAAACCGGTAAGAAGTCGATTAGCTTTACAAAATCAAAAAGAGAAAAACATCATCGTCGATTAGAATAGCAGCATAATATTATAAATTAGATATATATATGTATTGATTTGCTAGGAACGGCAACGTATATGAGATTTTTACCAGGGTTGGGAAGTAACTCGTTACTTGTAACGAAGTTACAGTTACAGTTATTTTTTTTTGGTAACTATAACTTAACTTTGTTCCTTTTTCTTCATCTATAACTGTAACTTAACTTAGTTACACATTTATGGTAACTAGTAACTAATTTAACAGTTAATTTAATATTCTATATACGGTTGTATTAATTGTAAGAATTAGGGCCTATCCAGACAAACTTGCATAGTCGCATAAATATATGCATAAGGAAAGGAACAAAATTGTCATAGAATTTATCATATTAAATGTAGATTCGATATTTGTTAAATAAATAGACGGATAAACGTATAGATATTAATTATGAAATTCAACAAAAATAAACAAATTTTCATTTAAAGAATGCACTGCCACCCAGTAATAAATTATCTTTGAGAATTATTATCATATAAGCATAAAGTTGAGATTTTAAGAAGAACTGAAACATTAGTCTACGATTTTTCAGAAAGTTACGACTGTTTGTGTGAAATTTGTGAATTTTTAAACTGAAAAATCTTAATCCTATAATTTTTATTCTAAGTGTATAATAATTTATTTTAAATTATTTATTAATTTAATATTTTAAATGTATTTTTATTTTAAGTTTAAAACAATTGTGATTTATTACATATAAAATAATATAACACAAAATTAAGTACTTATATAGTATATAATAAGTTAATAAATCTTGAAATGTAAGATTCTTATATTTAAAATAGTAGTGCACATTTATTGCAAAAAAGTAACTGAAAAGTAACGACTCGTTACTTTTTGAGTAACTATAACTGTTACATGTTACTTTTCAGAGTCGGTAACTTGTAACTGTAACTAGTTCTTTTTTAGTGAAAAGAACTGTAACTTTAACTAGATACTGTTACAAAATAACTTTCCCAATCCTGGTCGCAAGTGTCGAACGGAAGTGTCCATTTGCGATTTCGCGCTTTTTCGTCGAGTATTTCCTTTGTCATAAGCTGACAAAGTTCGCGTTATCGAATAAATTTCGCGTGATTTTCGCGAGTGAGTGCTATGGAGGAGCAATCATCGTTAAACTACGGCGAAGAGAGTAAGGATGTCCAAGGAGCAATCATCGATGGACTCTGAAGAGGAGGAGGAGGACGTTCGAGAAGCATCGGGCTTCGCAACATCTTCAAGGTAAGTAATTAACGGTTTTTCATTAAAAATATGAAAATACCATTTTATACTATTTATTTTCTAATGTTTTGTGATTTAGTTTTTAAATTGATAAAATTGTATTCAGAACACACACATATTG